TTTAAGACACCGACTCTACCTTGTTTGTTTCATCGACCTGTTAAGCTTTTTATTTCAGAGGTATAACAGTATTAATGCAATCCTGAGAATACAGTGCTAATTTTCTATAATACGGAGCAGTTATTGGCCTAATGTTCACCTTTTGTAACCTGGCAGGAGGCCTTCTGGTGTCTGGTTCAGATCAGTGAGCAATACCTGCCCGGATATTACAGCCCTCTGCTGGTGAGGACATGCACATCTTTTGTTTTTTACATTTTTTACCTTTTATAATACATATAATCAACACGTAGGCAAGTAGATGTTGATTTCAAGGCTGATTCTTGATAAGTTGTGCTATAAATATAACCCAAAGACAAAGCTGAATCGTGTGTTGACCCTGAAAGCTGGGCAGCTGTCTGAGCCTACTGTGGTGTGCTGTGTAGGAGGGAGTACTGTTCGATGCGGCCATGCTGACCTGGGTTTTGAAAAAGACGTGTCCAGCTGCACACAAACATCTGCAGAACCACGGAGTGGAGCCCCTCATGTTTGCCACCGACTGGCTGATGTGTCTGTTCACACGACACCTTCCATTCAACACGCTTCTCAGAGTCTGGGACCTCTTCTTCTGCTATGGTAGAGCTGACCTCAGGCTAACACAACCCCCTTAGGACTGGCAGGAATAGCAGCTTATTAAAAGCGATGGCTTTGTCCACTATATATAGAAGTGTTTAAATATCTGCACAATTCTTACATTTTTGGTCACTGCCATCATCTACCTGATATGTAGCATTTTCACCAGGTCTTCCTCTTTCGCCCTCATCTTTCCTCGCAGGGGTCCGGGTGCTGCTACAAGTCGCAGCGGTGCTGGTGCGCCGGGTGTTGGGTCGAGCTGAGCAGAGGAAGCAGTGTCAGGGCCAAATGGAGACTCTGGAGAAGTTGAGGGGTGTTAAGGAGGAGGTCCACGATGAAGACGACGAATTCATAGCAGAGGTAAGATTTCGATTTTTAAACCTGATAGGCTTATAGAGAAGCATCTTGTTCTCTACCAATTACCTCAAGATAACAGCTTTCATTTGTAAAGCAACAGAGCAAGTAAATTAAACTAATCATGGCCACAAATAGTGTAAAAAGATATACCTCAAAAGCAAAAACCTTTCAAAAAGATGGCTGCAAACCGAAGAGATGAGGCAAATAAAACCCTGAAGAGTAAATTAAAAACATGTTTCTATCAATAACTTTGTTTTATTTTTTATTTTTTTACAAAATGGCACTATTCTATCAAATAACGTAGATATAAATCTTGGTAAGTTACTAAAACAGCTCAGCCATAAACATGTCTGATCCACTGTGGCATGAACGTGGGAGCTCTGGAGGTATCCTGTGGTGCTTGGAATTAGTGTGTCAAAATTGCTCAATTGGATTATGATCAAGGAATTTGGAGGTTAGGGGTAACCGTTCAAGGCTCTTTGTGGTGTTCCTCAGGGATCTTTAACAGGTTTTGTATTGTGGCGGGACACACTGTGTTGTTGGGGTGCAACTATCTGCAGAGTTTCCCTTCTTGTTTCAGGTGTGCTCTGTGCCACTGTCGGGTAAAGATTTGGAAAAGCAGACGGAGAAGGAGCTGGAAAAGTGGAGGAAAGAAAAACCATCGTCCACGTTTGACCCCAGAGGTCGCTGCCATGGATACCGGAAGGCGTGGGCTAGAGCTCGGCAGCATGAAATTGAGAAGGAGAGGAAAGAGAGAGAGAAAGGGAACCTCTCTGTCCCACTAACTCGCTCAGCCTCCTCTCTCTCACTGTCTCCTTCCCTCCTTCACAAGAAGTGGAGGAAAGCGGGAAAAGGGAACACAGTTGACTCTGAAGGCAGTAACAAAGTAGTGAGGCATCTTTCAATGGGAGGAAGGGAGGACTGGAAAAGCTGGAATGAGTTTGACTTTAAGAAGGTACAAGGAGTCAAAGAGGAGGAGGATGTAGTTTCAGAGGGACAAAAAGAGGGACAAACTGAACAGAAGGAAATTTCACAGACACCTGACAAGATTCAAGAAACCAAAAATATCCAAACAGAAGAAACAGCAGCAGGAAAGGAACAGACTGAAAACACGGAAAAAGGAGTTGCTGAAATTGAGGAAAGCAGTGTCAAAGAGACAGAAACAGGTGATGTTAGAGAGATGGAGAAAAGTGTTGTCAGGGAGA